CCGCGTGGCCTAGGCTTTCTAATTTCATTACCCTCTCTGCTATGGCCAGTGACCTCAACAGAGAATACCCGATGTCCTTCACATGAAGAAGCGACCACCCTATTCTCTAAAACCACCTCCCTGATTACATTGCCCGCATCTCCATTTCTATCCACAATGTCACTAGGTAATTCCCAACTATCACCTGCTGGATTTTTTGGCTTGTTCTTGGAGCCCATTCTTTGGTCAAGACTAGGCTTTATGATTTCCTGACCATCTCCACTAACACCAGTGGCCTCACTAGGCAATTTCCTAGCTTTTTCACCCACAAGAGCAGCCATCCCATTCCCTAAATCTATAAGACTAGCTTTGTTGTCAGCACCTTCAATAGTGGCGTGACTACACAAAGCTTTATATCCATCAAAAGTAGCAGTCGTCCAGTTCTCAAAACCCATCAACCTAACTTTATTATCAGCCCCATCATTGCTAACCATGATATCACTGGGAAATTGTTGCCTGTCACCAGCAAGAGATTTTTGCTTATTTTTCGAGTCCTTCGGTCGCCCTCGCTTACGCTTAGGTTTGCTTTCATCATTCACTCCAAAACTACTGTCAATATTATCATCAGCCATTGCCCCATCATTTTCCCCAAAACAAGTAGTCATGTCATTCACACAACCTGCAAGCCTGACTTTGTTATCACAACTTTCATTATAACCCACAATACCACGGGGCAATTCATGACTGCCTCCATTTTCTTCTTCATCTAAAAGAGTAATCCTCTCATTCCACAAAACCCTTGATAAATTAGTCTTATCACAACTATCAACACTCACCTTAGCTTCACCACTGGCAAGATTTTCCTTCTTCTTATTCTTTGAACCCTTGGGTCTGCCACGCCTATTTGGTGTGATGATCCCTTTACCACCAGTGACTTCATCAGGCAATTCTTTGTCCTTTGCACCTTCAAGTGTAGTCCTCTCACTCTCCAACTGTATTGATCTAGTAGTCCTACTGTCACAGTCAGTTGTATCCTTAGTTTCACCGGGCATTTCTCGATTATCTACAGCAAGGTTTTCCACCTTTTTTGAACCCTTTGGTCTGCCACGCTTCTTTGATGCGATGATCTCCTCTACTATCCCATTAGCACAAGTGCCTTCACCAGGAATTTCTCTGTCCTCTGCCCCTGCAATAGTAGTCTCACTCTCCACACCCATTAGTATCGTAGTCCATATAACACTACCAATACAACCCTTGGTTTCACCAGTCATTGCTTGATTCTCGCCTGCAGTGCCTCCATTATTCTTATTTTTTGATCCCTTTGGTCTCCCACGCCTTTTTGGTGTGACAGTCTCAGTTCCACCCTTGTTACCAGCAGTAGCTTCAACAGGAGTTTCATCGTCCTCTGCGCATAGAAGAGGAGTCCTCCCATTCTCCAATGTTGCCAGGGTAACAGACTCAATGCCAGCATTGTTATTGCCCAGAAAATCACCAGGCAAGCACTGTTTTTCTTCAGGTGCAACATCTTTTTGCTTCTTCCCTGAACCTTTTGGTCGGCCACGCTTTGCCTTTGGCCGCACAATCTCATTTCCAACTGATCTCTCAATACATTCTCCAGCACCAAGGATTTGCTTATCCTCCACTGGGTTATTCTCATTTCCTTCTCCATTGACACCACTGGTTTCACTGAACATTTCCATTTCAATCATCCCAACGTCACTACCATTTCCGATCATATTATCACCACCTAGGCCAAGTTTTACTTGACATCGAGGATCATTCTTCTTCTTCGTTAAACCCTTTGGTCGCCCTCGCTTGCGTTTCACTGGAGAAACCTCAGCTCCAACCTTGTCGTCACCGCCAAACTCACTCGAATCATCAATACCAACTGCTTCAACACCAAAAATTTCCCTCTTGTTCGTTTTCCCATCATCTTCAACATCATCTTCACCTCCATTCCTATGACATCCACTTTCAATCCCTTCACCCCCGTTTTCACAAGCACTTTCACCGAAAAGGCCCTGAATTCCCTCACCGTCAATACTAGCACACCCAGCTTCACCACACCAGCATTGAACGCCTTCACCACTAGCAGCCATACCTCCATTTTTACATTCACCAAATAGTCCCTCCATGCTTTCACCAGAGAGGGTTATATCACCATTTTTCCCATTGACTTCACCAAATACCCCGTGTATTCCTCCACCACTAGAACCCACGCCCACATTCCCAACATTAGCAGCACTAACTTGACAAAATAGGTCTGCGGCCCCTTGATCACCTAGACCCACAACACCATTTTCACTAGCACCCAGACCAGACTCACCCAATCGAAATCCTTCACCATCCCAGACCTGAAAAACCTTACCATCCAGACCCAAAACCTCTGTACCACCACATTCTCCACCAAAACTATCTTGAAACCCTTCACCACCAAGAACCTGCCCATTATTCCCACGTGCAGTAGCTTCATTTTGCCAAAGTTGAAAACTTTCACCATCATTGCCAGCACCTACATCATCAAACCACTCCAAAACATCTGAGTTCCCTACACTAAACCAGTCATGAACCCCTTGATCTCCAAAACCCACATGATCACTGACCTTCTGTTCCTTCTCTCCCACCAAAATACCTGAATCCTCTTCACTTCCCTCCCTCTGTCTCTTCTTTCTCTGAGAACCCACTTCAACCCCACCTCCATTTCCACTCTTCTCCTCCATGCTTCTCTTCAAACCCCTCTCCACTGAATAAAGATGGTGTTTTTCACAATACGTTTTGCCACTAAAAGCTCTCTCCTTACACCTCCACTTGCCTGCACTTCTTGAACACCTGTTGTGCCCATCATCATCATCAACCATTTCTCATTCTTTGAGAGACAATAAAATCAAAAAACCGAATCTTGCAAGTTACAGAAAATCAAGGGTCTTTACTGCTTTCATTTGAAAATTGAAATTGACAAAAGTAACGCCCTCCTGTAGGAGCCTGTTCCTATCAGTACTGAAAAGCAAGTAACAGGTAATAATAAAAGACCTGTGTGTCCAACTGTTTTGGCAAAGCGGTATCCGTGTTTTCGCTGTCTAGTTTCTCACAGTGTGACAAATGAAGGCCGGGACAAGGAGTAGACAAGGTTGCTGTTTGGTAACACTAGCACAAGAGAAAGACTCGGCGCTACTTCATTCCTTATGATACTTTTTATTTCTTACCATGAAAATAGCTTATTTGCATATATATTTTAAAAAATAAAAAATATTACTTCAACATATTTTCAAATAATAAACATTTAAAAAAAATTAATGGTTTTCATAACACTAAACGGATTCTTAAAATGGAAAAGGGATGTGATTTTATTGGAGAAAAGAGCGTAAAAGGAAGGATGAGGTGATCTCTACATTTTTGCAAGGTGGGTTTCAAAATTAATTTAATGCTTGACGATGTTTTGGAGTAAAATTGATCATCTTCTCTTAAAAAATGCTCATGGGATTAGATCTTTCTTCTCTGTTACTCCTTCAAAAGGAAAGTGAACCCTGCACAAGGCCCTATATGATTCTCCAAACAAACAGGAAAGAGACGAGAGCATGAAGTAGGAGCATATGAGCTTTTTCATTTTATTTTAAGATTCAGGTTTTCATTTGTGATTAGTTAGTGTTCTCCGAAGGAACATGGATTTATTGTTTTGAATAAAAAATAAATAAAAATAAAATATTTGAAATTAACCTGACTAGACTCACTTTGATGTGCCCAAACCGGTCTGATTCGAAAAAGTTAACCTTCGAACTAGTTGTGAAAGAAAACACAACAAGAGCCAAGCCCCTAGTCTACAAGTCAAGCTATGCTGCCCCACATGGCAATCCTTGGTTGGTCAGTGACTGACTCAGTGAATGCCATTGAGAGTACTAGTTTGTTGTATCTGCACAAATCATGTGGGATGGATTGACCACCCACAATAAGCTCTACTAGTCAGCGGGACTTTTTCATGCAGATAAATCTAAATATAAATTTGGGAGAGAACGATGCAAGATGGTTCCATGGTCTAGTGGTCAGGACATTGGACTCTGAATCCAGTAACCCGAGTTCAAGTCTCGGTGGAACCTTCATTTTCTCTTTCTTTTCCAACCTGTATTAGAGAATCCTGACCCACGCAAGCTTGATGAATTAGGAGAGTTGAATTGATAAAACCTGTATTAGAGAATCCTGACCCACGCCAGCTTGATGAATTAGGAGAGTTGAATTGGTAAAATAATATTTTAAATAATATAAATATGATTATGTTTTTACCATATATATTGCAATGAAAAAAGCTATTTAAAAAATTAATAGTTTTATTTAAAAAAAAATATATTTTTTATTTTTAAAAAATTATTTTTAATATTAATATATTAAAACAATATAAAAATAAAAAAATAATTTAAAGTCAAAAAAATCAAAATTTGATGAAACTCCAATAAAAATATAATTTAAAATAAAAAAATAAAATTTATTGAAACACATGGACACTAACCTAACCCAAAAAAGTAGTTAAAATGCGAACAAGTAGAGATTAATATATTAAAATAATTAAAAAATATTAAAAATATATTAATTCAAAAAAATTTAAAAATACTTTTAAAAAGCATTCTCAAACGGAAACTTTAATAACTGTCTTTTGAAAAACATTCCCAAGCGGACACTTCAATGACTTGTCCTGCGGCATGATGTTTTGATATCTTAAGCATCATAATCTGCCAAAATAACTTGTTTAAAAATGTAACAGTAATGATTGTTTAAAAATGTATTAAAATAAAAAAACTATTTTTAATATTAATATATTAAAATAATTTAAAGACGTAAAAAAATATTTTAAACAAAAAAAATATTTTTAAAATTTTTAAAAACACGAAGCGTTCCCATTCCAACCTGAGAAGCTAAGGAAGCTTCGGTGCATTTCGATTATGCTCTACAAGGAGAGAATTCAATGCATTCTCCATTAGTTTATACAGGAAAAAAAAACATTCTATTTAGTTTCCATAAACAACGGAATAACATTGAAGCAATACAGAGTTGATGTAAGTTTCACTAACATTCTTTCAGGAGATGAAAAAGCTCCAATACGAAGGCGATTTTTTTGGAACAGCTACTACAAAAGCAATTTGAGAAACAATGGTCGAACGGAAAGTGTTTATTTGTTTTTGTCTTCTTCCTTCATCTTCTTCTCCCACCTTCGTTTCTTATATGCCAGCAACATTTCAGGCATTTGCTCCATCAGTTTGGCAGTCTTTGCCCGTCTCTCTGCAGCAATTCTATCACACTTGTGTCCCTTCATCTTGGTTCTCATTTCTTTCCTCTCTGGGTCATATGGCCAGTCTTCCCCTGCAAGGAGGACTTCCTTGCGAAGTCTAGCTCGTCGGCGAGCGCTGATGTGGAGTGGTGTCCAGGCCCCGAGTTTCCAGTAACCCCACACGCCTTTGGATAGCTCATTCTTGTGCTTTGCCAACTTCTCTTTCCATGGATACTGGTACTCTGCAACTGCCTTTGCCACAGTTTTCACAGCTTTGCTTGCCATTCTTCAGGTTCGATAGCTTACTGCCACAGAAAGAAGAAACATTTGTTACTGCAATGGATATATACATTACTCTAAGATGCAGAAATGAAAAAAGGGACAGGACAAAACTTGTGGAGAATCCACAAGGCAACTGAAGTCTCTCTGGTAAAGTTCCACGAATCAGTTTATTCATCAAATCTCAAATCATTGCTTGTAATCAGACAAGTAGTTTTTCCCTCAAATTTCATTCTCATACCAACTAGATATTTAAAGAAGTACACAAATGCAATTGAGGTGAACAATAGGTATCACTTCATCAAGAAAAAAAAGATTTTTAGCTCGGCCTAGAAGCAGCAGCTGTGACAACAGATGGATTGGCCATTGATACTAGCAGGAGCCAAACAACATCCATACTAAAGTTTCTATCAACAATGATTATTTTAACTACAAGATGAACAAGAATCTATATTTCCATGCAACAACAAGAAGTTCCAAAAAAAAAAAAAAGCTCATATAGTATCAAAAAATCAGCAAGCAACATCTGATACAGTTTTACCTACTTTTCCTAGGCAATTAGATATAGCTCATAAGGCAAACCAAGCAAGACGAATTACACCAATCAAATCCAATACAGAACCAGTTCATTTCATACTGAATAAGCAATTGAAAGTAATGAGATGGTTGCATTTATCTAAAACACTTTCTTTCTTTTAAAAAATACTAGAAAGCAATTGAAAGTTTAAAAAAAAACACCATTACGATTCAAGCCTGAAATCATATACTAGAAAACCTATTTTTAACCGTGCCTCTATGATATGCAGCTGGAAATGTATACTAAATTGTTGGTTTCCTTGCTGATTTCCAGCAAGATCTAGAATGGTGAGCAGCTGAAAATGTAGACTAAAATTATGGTTTCCTTGCTGATTTTCAGCAGGATTTGAGGGCTGAATGTGGCTGGATTTTGAGCCACAAATCCTGACTTTAATCTCTTTCAATGTCTAAGTTATGGCAGCAGTGTGTGTGTGTGTGTGTGTGTACCATTGTTGATGGTTTTTACAGCTGTTGAAACATTATAAATTAGGCTCTACATTATATTCCTGGTCAGTCTTGAATATAATTTTGTAATCTCAGTTGTTAGAGAAGAGTTTCTCTCTAAAGTTTTTGTATTTGTTCTTACTTCCTATGAATTCCAGCATTTCAACTTCCAACTTTCCTTTTATCCCAACTAGGATTGCATCACTCTAATGGGCCAATACAACTACACAAAAGCAATTACTAGCACAAAACAGTGACATGGATGCACCTCAAACCATTTAGTAGCAGCTGTATCAAATCTGCACTTCTCCTTTTCAGAAAACCAAAAAACTTGGAACTAACAACAAAAAATTAATAAATCATCAGCTAAAATGCTAAATCCACATTAGAAAGAAAAAGAAATATCACACCCATTTCAAAAGTGATAACAACGCAATTCCAAAATTCAGTAAAGTAGAATATTAATTGTGGTTTTAAAAAAAACTTCCATTTCATTTCCTTTTCCTTTGTTTTGTTTCCTCAGCAATAGAACAGAGTGAAAATAAATCACAATTAAGGAAAACAACGCAACGAAGAGCAAGAGAAAAATTGTGCAATTTCCATCAGGGAACCAAATATTCTCCGGTAAAATCTTCCAAGAACCAGTCCATCTGTAATCCTAAATCGACACTTGTACTTAAACACGGAATTAAGTTAACTGCCAAACATCACTCTCATCCCAGATAGCACTTTACATAAGCATGCGATTGAGGTAAACAACATGAAGATCTTTAGTGTGTGTTTGGCTTAGAGGTGTGATTAGCTTTTTTGAAAGGTACAATCCTCTTAAAACACAAACCACACCTCACAAAAGCAAAAAACACATGCTTTTTAATTCAGTCTAGAAGAGGCTGCCCCAAAACATGGATTAACCATTTATTAATTACATTTGGCAAAATGCAAGCAACTGCCATCATAAAATTTCTGTCAACAATGACTAAAATAACTAATAATTTCCAGCTGTACAAATTCTCCCTTGTAACTACAACTACTCTCAAAAAACAAACTTCATTTAGGATTAAGACATCAATATCACCAAACTTGTAATGTAGTTTGTGCCTACTTTACCTAGGTAACAATACATAAATCAAACTCAATACCCAAGACAAGACTTTGTCCCATAGCCAGTAATAAAAATTAAAAAAATCAAAAATTTCAATTCGAAAATATATTTTCGATCCTTGTATACAAGAAATCCCATTCCTTTCCACTACACAAGGGTGAAATGAGTTCACTTCAAATTACTAGCTCTATCAATTCTCTAGTTTTCATTTCCAGAAAACGGGAAAACATGGAACTGAGAAAGAAAATCAGAAGAAGCAACTAAATCAAAGCAATAACAAAAATATAAAGCAAACCCATTTTAGAAGAGATAAAATCCATGTCAATAACCTCATAAGAGATTCAAAATTCAATCAGTAGAGAGAGCGAGAGGGAGTGGGATACTTACAAAGAAGTAACAGCGAAGTGACTGTCCCTGACCTCAAAGCTTTTTTCTTGGAGTTAGACAGAGATGATGTGGTTCTGCTACATACGGCCTCGCTTCAATGTTTAGGGCTAAGCTGTTATAGACACGTGCCCGGAATTGAACTCTGGGTGTTTTTTCAATTTTGTCAATTTAACATGTCTTTGACTTATTGTTTTCTTTAATTTTCTATTAGATAAAAAGTAAAAAAAAAAAATATATATATATATATAATATTAAAATTCTAATATTTTTTAAGACTTAATTTTTGAAAATTTTAGCCCATAGAATCAATTAAAAAATTTTAAATAGTTATAATATATTAAAATTCTAATATTCTTAAACCTTAATTTTTAAAAATTTTAATCATCAAAATCAATTAAAAATAGTTTACATATTTATTTTTTTTAATTTTCAAAACCGATAAAGGCCAATAAAAATGGTAAAGAGGAAATATTTAATTGGTTGTTATAATTGGAAGGTCATTTGCCCCTTTTTTTATTATTATATTGACCGTAATAGTTTTTTTTATCATAAATTTATTTATTTATTTTCAAATCTATTTCCAAATCAGCTAAAAATAGAGAAAGTAGGCAGTGCGACAAGCTATTTTTTTTATTTACTTTGGTACAAGGCATATAACAGCGAATTTGGAATCCATTTATTAAATCAAATTATTGTGTTTAAAATATTTTTGAAGTTATTAATTTAAATTATAAATGAGTTAAATCACATAAAATAGACAAACACAAATTATTGTCCTCTAACTTGCTACAATAATCTCAACTAAAATTGGAGATTTTTGGCTTGGAAGTTGTAGCATTTTTCGTAGCATCTCCGGTCATCACTGATATCTCAGATTTGGAGGAGACAAAAATGTGTGAACAGAGGACTATTGAATCTGAGGCATATCCAAGGATATATGCTTGAAACATGAGAAGATTAAAGCATAAATTGTGTTGTTTACAAGGCAAAAGAAGCATCACAAGTCAAGAAACAAGAAGCACTTCATAATGGGACCATATCAACCTTTTGTTCCCTTTTTTTTTTTTTGGGGGGTTGGGGGTGGGGTCAAAAAGGGGGACTAGAAAGAGACAAGAAACAATAGAGGATTAGCAGCCTTTGATGGGCAAATGACCTAAACTGCATTATTATGAACATGTACATACAACTTGGATGATATAAAACAGACATCTACCAGTAAGAGACCAATACAAGTTAATGCTGATTGCAACTTTTCCTAGTACAAGGATCTGCATCCCATGGACAATCGTGTGCTGGGATTTTCCTATGAACAAACAAGAGATTGGTAGTGACTCTCAATTACTAGTGATCCAGCACAACAGAATTTGCAGAGGCAATTGCTCTTAGTGAATCAAAAACTTCATGACCGAACAGTCAAGATATTCTTTGCCCAGAAATAGGAGGGAAAATGTTTGATCCGAACAGAGCTCCAGAACATGTTCAGACTGAAGGCCATCCCATTTCCTCCACGAGGCTTGAACTTTCTTCAACTAAAAAGTTATCTTGGTGTAAATCCTGTCTGCATCTGTTGATTCCATTGAAGACCATATTTCAGATTTATTAAACACAACTACTCAACATTAACATTTTCCTTGTAAAAAGGACCTAAACTATGAACATGAACGCATGATCATTGCCTTGGAAGTTCATTCAACTGTTTTCAATATAGATAGAAGACAATGCAATAGAAGATGATTAATGTCCTACTTTTATCAGTCGAATAATTGTAATTTCATTAAAATAATAGAGTGAAGTGAAAATATTAGTTTCATTATTTGTTCCCCTAAAAAGCAACTATCATTTTTTTTTCTCGCTTTCCTGGGGGGCCATTTCAAAGTGCAACTAGAGCTTGACATTAAATAGCACATTTTTGGTTTAAACTTTATATCTTACCCAGCCGTGTGGCTGCACATTCGGCGACACATGCACACACAAAATCAGAGCATCTAAATACAACCGAGTGATATGTAGACTGTCAAATTTTGGATGATAAGACATGTTCAAATTATTACCTGACTTGCATATGCTGAGCTTTGAGCCAGAAATTTAACAAACTCTTCCTTCTTTCTCTCAAAACTTTGCCTTGCAGTATCCAATAATGCTTGTTCTCTCTTTATATCCTCCAGCATTTTTTCCCTTTTCCATTTGGTCTCCTTGAGCTGCTTCTCAGTGTCAATGTAGTTGTCAGGCAGGGTTGACGTCACAGACAATTTTGGAAATCTTACATCCACATTATTCCTATAGAGCATACAAGTTCCAGAAAAAGTATATTGCAGAAAATGAGTGTTCATTCATATTAACCAAAGACAAATGTACAATAACAAATCTAAAACACAAAGCTTGGATGCGGCAGAAAAGGTCATCCAGTTGAATTATGCATCGTGTATGATGAAAAAAAATCTTAAAGTTTACTGTTCAAGCACACCTGGCATCGATAGTAAAAAGAACCAAATAAAGATTCCATGCACGTCACTTTCAGTCAAAGAAACACCCTTTTAAATAAAGAGTAGTCATGTTTAAAACTAGTGATGTATTTAATCTCATTTAAGAGAACGTCAAAACATTAGAATGAGAGCCCTAAAAGCTACAATATACCAATGACACGAGTACTAAAAAGAATGGATTTGTTCCGGAATGATAAGACCCCACAATTTACAAAGCTGTAGAAGCATCATGCACACATTGGTGCTTCCACAAATCATCAATTAACCTTTTGAAGGCCACATAATAAGCCAAACTCTACAGCTTAGACAGCAAAATTCAATTGTTATTTCATAATCCAGAATGATTCATGGGGAACCAGCCACAGATAATGGGATTATAATTGATTACCTCAGAGTTTTAATGATATTGAGGACCTTTATTTTATTTCCTATATATTAGTCATACAGTTCTCTTCTTTCTTTTATTACTTATCTTTTTAGTTTTAATTATGACTTTTAATTTTCTGTTTCTTCTATTTTATTTTTTATTTTTTTGTGTGTGCGTGGGTCTAGTTGCGGTTGAGTGGTTATATACAAGAGCTGACATATTGCGTTTAAAGAACAGCCATTATGGACACCTGACTAATGAAAAATGAGAATTTAACAGACAATTTTTTCTCCCTGTGGTTTTTCTATTGTTTTCACCCCTTCTTTTCATCTTGTTTTTCTTATTTTCCTCTCCCTTTCTTCTATAACTTCTGCTTCAATTTCTTCTATCTTATCCTATGTCAACAATCCAGAAAAGAGTTCCCTTGATATTACCAAGATCCATTGTGAAGAGAGTAAAATGATGAAATTCACCATAAGATGCAATCAGATAAAATTGCCTATTCAGGTATGACAGCAGGACCACTTACCGATTACCTAGAGAAAATATACCGGTACCCTTCATCATTCCTCCATCCAGTGAAATGGCTCCATCACTTATACAAGGAAGAGCGAGTACCATGTCTTCCCTTGTTCTATAAACTTGTAGACGGGAGAACAGATTATAAAATAGAGTCTCTCTAAGACCATATCCGCTGCCTGTGAGATAAAATAAGTTTGTGAATTCCACGTTGATCATATTTACAGCAAAGCCAATAAACCCAGGTGGGCACTCCCCGTTAGGTAATTTTGGCTTAAGGAGATCAAGCCTCCTTTGTGGGTCATCCACCACAAATTCACCGCAATAGGGTCTGCAAAAGGGAAAGTGAACTGAAAACAGAATTTTTACAGACTACAATACTGGATTGACAAAAGATGACTCTTGAGATTCATGCCTTAGATTTTCAAGACAAAAGACAAGAAATCGACCATCCAATTCCTTCCCAATAGAAGCACCAAGGCCATGAAGGCCGGAGTCTTTATTTATCTGGCCTTCCTTGTCATATGTTTCCAGAGCTTTTACACCTTCATATGTCTTACAGACAATTGCCAGCATAGTCTCCACACCCAAGTACTCGGAAAAAAGCCTACATTCATTTTAAACATGGAAAAAGATGAATCAAGCATTGTGCACATTTCTAAGGATAGATCAGCAAGCAGAGAGGTAATTTTCATGCCATTTAAACTCCCAACCAGCATTGCTTCTCCTGTAATTCTGTAGAACCTAAATTCAACTTCTAAATCAAAGAACAGAAACAATATACTAATTCCTGCATAAAAACAGGAGCTTACAGATTGTTCTGAGATGATGGGTGATGATTCTCTTTCATTATACTGAGAACTCATATTTGGCATTTTTTTATTAACCTCAGCTATAGTGATTCTGTAAGCAGTGTACAGTTCGCAACCTGATAAACATGCATAACAGATAGCAAGTAGATTCAAACTGACCTGCCAAGGTTATCATCATCTACCTTGCCAAGTGTAGCAACAACACCAAGCACATCGTTGGTAAATGACGGATGTGAAATTTGAGTGCCATGGCTCATTTTCAGCCGGCACAAAATGCCCGCAGCAGATTTTTCATGCTGTAGAATGTGTTCCATTGTTTCATCCTCACTCTGATTGGAGTAATGGGCATCATTTTCATTATTTGGCATTGTTGAAGAATGATATTTGCCAAGGGTAACTGGGACAAAAACCATCCGCAGAGAGAATGTGATGAGAGAAAAAAGGATAAATGTATGACTAGTGATAAATAGAGAGCCAATATCCAAAATATTATATCTGTAGACTGTATGCACAATTTTGGAGTTCACAGCAACCAAAAAAAAATGACATAAGAACACAAGAATGGCAGATCCCACAGGTCTCATGCTAACCAGAGAACTCAAAACCCCAAGCAAGTATTATTGTTCAATCTAATATCTATAGCGTACACTCAGAAATTGATTAAATTTTGAAATGGAAATGATAAGTATATGCTCAGAAGTACTTTCATCCAGGTTAGCAGTGTGGTGGTGATAGATACTTTTTAAGCCTTTTCACCAGCTTTCCACAGTCCAAGAAGGATTTTATATTTCAAAATCCATGACGAGTGTGTAGAAAATAAGAAATTAAGAATACCTTGCAGATCAAGAATGGAATCATCTAATTTGTTTTTGTGACTCTTCAGAAACTTAATGTTGTCCTCATGATGTTTGATTTTCATCCCTAGCACATGCAAATCTTCTTGAAGTTTCTGCAGGGTCATTCCAAAGTTAGTAAATAGACCATTCTCAAATTAAAAGTATCAAGATTGAATAATTGTAAATATATACAAGTGAGCTTAAAAAACATAAAAAATTCTGCATCTTTTTCATGAAACCTTCCTTTTGTAAGACATGTATGAATGTATATACTTACATACACGCACATACACAAGCAGTAGACAGATCCTAACCACAAGTAAAATTGAACCAAGAGTACACAATACATTAATAGTAATGATCATCACGAATCTTTTCAATCCTTTCACTCTAACTATTATGACATCACCGTTTCTCCTTAGCCAGAATTAAAACTCATAAATAACATTACTTCTTTGCCAGAATTAGTTTACTAATTCCATTAGCAGACCTGTAGCCAAGAATATTACAGCAGAATAAAATTTTACTTAAGAACCTTAGAATTGTAGAGGATGGTTTGGGCTTGTGGGAATCTTCCATTTTGCATCTCATCCCTCACAACAATATTAGTTTCTTTTGGATCCACTTGCATTAATGCAGACGGTGATGCATCCTGAAAAAAAAAAAAAAAAGATGCCTTGGTGAAAATTGCAACCAACAATAAGAGGAATTTATTGTATTTGCACAGATTGTGAGAAATTAGAGGACAGAACAGGCTGCCCATGAGCAGGCTAGTTTTCTTCATAGGAAGATTGTCTATACATAATGTGGGGGCATTAACATGCATCATTCTAAAGAACAAGAAAGATGGAAGACAAAAACATTTTCTCCAATCAAGTAAATTAAAGAAATTACAATTCTAGCATTTATAAATCCACTGAGCTATTTCCTACAAAGATTGTCAAGGTAAAAAATACTGGAATTTTCTCACTGGACTGATTAAACTTCAGAATGGGGAAGAGTAAAATGATAATATACAATTAAACACTGAAAAAGCTTTAGCTCCTCTCAATTTCCACAACAGTACTACAATTATATGAAGGTTAAATAAGTAGCATACCTAGGCAACAGCAATCTTCTTTACAGGGATTATGACATGAGAGTAACATTCATTTACTTTCTACTCCTCTCGTCCTACAAAAACTTCCCCCAACCTAAATGAATTTTCTTGTTCCAAATTTATACAATTTTTCCCCCCACCCAGTAAGTTCTCAGTATGTTCTTGGTAAAATATAACGTAGCACTAACCAACAACAAAAACAACAACAAACCCACTTGAATTTCTTATAATGCCGCCTTGCTCTGCGAAACACCCTCGAAAACACAGATTCAAGTTCGCACTACCAAAAAAAATTAAAAATAACACTACAATTGAGAAGCAGGCAATCCCACGTTGATAGATTAATTAAATAAAATTCAACCAAGCTAGAATTTCACCAGAAACTGTGTATTAAAAACCAGCCAAGACCCACATTGTAAAATATCCACATAAACGCACTCCTAACAAACAAATCCCACCGTCGTAACAAAATTCAGAAAAATCGCTCTTAATAGCTTCTTTCAATAATACTAGTAAATGGGCTCTCTTTCATAATTTTTAAGCTTTTCTGGTCTCCCGGTAAAGGGTTCTTCTTTCCACTGAAGAAACTAGTAAAAAGAAAATAGCGACAAAGAGAAGACTAATATAATACAACAGGATTGTCTTTTTCGACCTTCAAATTGCTCAAACCACCAAAACATGCTCATGCATGAGCAGAAACCTTGATTAGGTTCCTGTTTGGTTTCCAAGAAAATGTAGCAAAAAGATAAGGAAAAAAAAGGAAATTTACACTGAGAAATAAGAAAGGTAAGAACTTTGTTTAACTTTCCTACATTTTCAAGGGAAACAAACAGAATTCGAGAAGTGAAGCAGACCTGAGAATGGTTGCTGGGTTGAAACATTTTTTGCTGAGTAGAGCTCTGACGACTCAGTCACTCTCTGTCTGTGTTCTCCTTTCTATTTTTCTCTCTCTCTCTAGGGTTTTTATTTATATTTATTCGGAATCTTTTTGGTTGTGGCTATAGCACGCACAATCTCATTTACTAACGCATTTTCAGCCGTTAATCGGTTAGAACATCAAATGGTTTTAAGAGGGTCGGGTTTTGACCGAGCAGACCTAGTTCAATCAGCTCAGTGGGTCAACCAGGATTTTCGACTGAGTCATCCTTGTTTTTTTTTCTATTTTTTCTTCAATCTTGACCGATCCAGCATCTGAATTGGTCGAATCTCGAATCAACACGTCAGACACGCACAGCTAGTTTAAATATTAAAAAAAGGTTCGAATTTATAGAGTTGATGTAGCCCAATGGAATGCAACCACCAAGAGTCTATTTCGGGGGTATACTTTTGCTCATTCGTAGGCCATGGGCCTGTCATTCGGGCTTCCCTCGAGTTTGTATTTCATCAGGGCCACATTGGCCCAATCAATATTAATCCAAAGTTTTCATTACCAAAATTTGGGGGGCCATGGTCCAGTCATGCTCAAATTTCGGAAATGAAAACTTCAGGGCTTTCCTTTAAGTTTTCATATCGTAAAGAAGACCGTTTACTCTTCTTTTTTTAGTTTTCACTGTATAGGTGGCAAACACTTCCGGTAAATTTTTTTTAACATAAAAAAATATTTAGATAATAATAACTCAAATCAAGATAAATTAGTTTTTCTAATCAATAACTTAGGATAACATATGAAGATAACCTCACATGAATGATAATAATAAAGTCTCATGCCCAGCAATTTAAAATCAAAATATAAAATTAAAAACAAATTAAAAAAAAATAAACATAAAAGAAAACAATCAAAGTCAACCCAAGCGTGCTCGACAACTCACTACTCGTGATATGAAATTAAAATTAAAAAAAAAAAAAAACTATTTAAGAAACACCTACAAAAAATACTGAAGTTAAATCAATAAAAAAATTAAAAACAAGATTAAGTAAACTTAAATTAACTTAACTAAAATCCCACAAAACAAAAACAGAAAAATCATAAAGCTCAAGGCCCAACGGCTACCAATCTACTGTGAAAAAATAAAATTTAAAAAAAAAGATATAGAAAAAAATGAGTTAAACCAAGTTATTTTTTACTAGTTTGTGACTTGTGATATGAAAAAGAGATAAAAAAAAACATTTAAAAAAAACCTAGAAGAAAAGATTGAAGTAAAATAAAAACAAATGTCAAGAAAAAATTCAAGTCAATCGAAGTTAATTTGACTGACCCACAACCTTGGATGATCCTATTAAAAAAATAGAAAAATCACAAAGTTTAAGGCCTAGCAATGTAATTTTAAATGATAAAAAAAAATCAAAAAAATTGAGACCTGTGATATGAGACTGTGATAAACCTAAAAATGAAATGTGAAAAAATTACAAAACTCAAGGCTCAATAACTTATAATGTCGAAGGACGAAATAAAAAAAATAAAGGACACCAATTTTTTTTAATTAATTTGGATTGACCCAACAAACTCGAGACCTGGAATATAAGATAAAAATAACCACATAAAAAAATAAAATAAAAAATAAAACTCAAAGCCCAGTAATCAAACGATAAAATTAAAAAATAATTAATGTTAAAAAACAACTATAAAAAATATCAAAGTTAAATCAGGTTGATCATTAAAATTAAGGACATGGTTTATACGACTTTATAGAAGGAAAACACCAAAAAAATCACTATGTAAAATTCATAATCATTTAAAATTAAAGAAATAAATATAAATCAAAACAATAAAGATCTAATGTCATACAAGAACTAAATGAAAGAAAATAATAAGGATCTAAATTAAAAATTAAAAAAAAAATAAAGATTAAAAATAAATCACCACAAAGCGCTACATGTTCAAAGAATACGAACACCTTCCCCTTGATAATGCTTGCATGACACATATATCAACCACTTTTTTTAATTATATTTACATATAATCAAAGATTTAATTACTCCCATCCAAATATATAATTATAAAATAACCATGTTGAAAAGTCCCTAAACACAAGTTTTTATTATTTTTTTTTCAATGGCAATATGATCCTTTCACCATGCGTCCAAAGTACAAACAAACTTATGCACCCTTCATTCTAGTTTAGATTTTCTCATTTTTAAGACATTGAAGTCATTATAATGTTCATTTAAAATGCAAAATGACTCATTTATCCTTATAAAACATGATAATAACTAATGAATTTCATGAAAAAAGCTTTCTTATCCCTAAGACCAAGCTAAATAAATTTTTCTTCAAGGGATAAAATAGTAATTTTATTATGTGAATCCACAATATTAATCTGGTTATAACAAAACCAATATAAAAAGATATAAATATCCCTAAGCTGACTTTAAAGAAGATTCTATTTTTAAATGTACTTGTGCTATTTTACTATACTTTCAAAACCGAAAATGCAAAAGCACCTATGAGCATCAACTGGAAAAAAAAAAAACAGATAAAAATACTCTTTTATTTTTTTATTCCTTTTATTTTGGTGTTTTTGTTTTTTTTTAAAGCATCTGTGTAATTCCACCGTGCTTGAAAAATGAAAAACACTAAATACCCCTTAGCACGGGCTTTAGAAATTTTGATTTAAAGGGTAAGTAAATCAATTTACAATACACAAAGAATGTCAAAAAACCGGTTTATCCCCATCAATATAGTAATGATTACTTGACCACTACGGAAAATACCATAATACCCCGGCAGCAAAACACTTGGTTTGGTGTGAGAACGACAAGATAAAAGGAACACTGTGGATTTTATCCACAATATTTTTCCCACGCCATTTCTTTTAATTTTAATTCCCCCCTACCGAGCTCGATAAAAAAGAAGAGGAACAAAAGACAACATATACCTTGATTTGTCCGATGTACCAAACCTTAGTAAGATGTAAAGAAATGTTAGCATCTCATGATTACATTTTAGTTGTTGAGAATATCTCTCGTTTTAATTATAAAGTGGTTAGAAAATGAGCAGATTGATTTTGTTGCTTGTAATTCACTATCTTAAAACCATTTTTAATATATATGTGTGTTTTTTATATTATAGTTAGGGATATTTTTAATTTGTTTACATATCTTTGATAGTCGAGTTTGGATTTCATTAAAAAAAAAGAAACAGTTTTATGGTAAGCAATCCATTCTTAATTTTATATACAATTTAAATTATTCAATATATACGAGACACTTTTTCTTTGGCTGCTCTTATCGTTAGGAGTCTTCTAGTAACTTGAATTCCAAAATTTTCTTTACAATATTATAGTGGATAATATTTCATTCTTTAACTTTATATATTATTATTATTATTATTATTATTATTATTGAATTTAAAAAAACCCTACTCCTCAAAAAACACATTTTATGAATCTAGATGAACGAATAAAACTCTGACTATTTCAGACTTTTATAAAAAGTGTATGTTTCAACTCGAACTCAAAATCTATTATGCAGATCTTAAGTCCTTTACCATCATGTTATGTTTTTTTGATATTTTTTTATTATTATTAATTGAAATATCCAGACCAATTTATATATATTTCAATTAATTATATAAATATCTCAACTAATTTTGTAAATTTTAAAATTAATAATTATATAAATTTTTAATAATTTTAAAAGAATTTAAACTCATGATAACTACAAAGCAAATTTAATCTCTTAACCAATTGAACTACATTTATATTATATTATATTTTTATAATTATTCGATGGTGATTTTTTTTTTCGTAATAAGCTGAAATAATCAAATATTATCTTTCAATAAACAACCTAGCTGGGGGAGTGGGCCCTCCATTGCAAGAAATGCACCGTAACACAAATTTATAGGGAAAGGTTCTTGTCACCAACTCATCAATTTCCCTCGTCAAAAAGTAAGGTACACAGACGAGACTCGTCTCCTTCCTTGTGAATTAATCCCTTGCCTTGCTTCAAGATTTCTTTTAATGCAAGCAATAAGCTCCATCTAACTTCGGGATTCTCTTCTATCCTCCATCATAAAACTCCAACTATCTAATAATTAAGTCTAGTGGCTATGGATCTCTAAAGTCGGTGTTCTTAAGGACTTCAGTCACATATAGCTCAGTAGCAAAGCTTGAAAGCTACTCCTGTGGTGGATCCATCTTGCCCTTAACACAGGTCAACTTGATAGCAAACCTGAATTATTATTATTATTATGAAGAAAATAAATAAATAAATAAATAAATAGTATGTAAACAATCAAGCTTAATTTTAGTGGAAATGCAAAATTTAAATTTCAAGACCTTCAATTTTATTTTTGCAGCAAAATTTAAAATGCATTGCTGGGTTTTTACTTCCATTGCTGCGTGAACGAAGGGAGGAAGCATTTTAATGAGATGGGTCGGCAAATTCACTGTATTTGCAAATGGGTCGGCAACTTCATGCCAAGATCATTGTGTCAATGGCTGCTCCAGATTTTCCTGTGGCAAATTCTTTGGTTCGGATCTAATACTGGCCGATAGCACGAGAGACTCTGTGATGAACCGAAGGTGTTCCAGGTGACCGTATGAAGAATTTCGGCTAGCTTGATGCATTTTGGTTGTTTGCTTAATCTAGTTTTCTATCATTATTTTATTTTGGTTTGTTGGGTCTGTATTAGTGGATTCCGGTGAGGACAAAAGGAGAAGTGTAAGGGTGGTTGTTAGGGTTTTTTTTAATTAAAAAAAAAAACAATTGATAGTAAAGTTGAAGTATTTGAAATATAATAATAATTTTATAAATAATTTGATATTTTTTTTATTGATTTTATTTTATAACATGCATGAATAAGCATATAAAATATTATGAACTTATAAATTTGAATGAATTTCTCATTAATTTCAATCATAAATGAAAACAAAGGTTATTCGTTTTGCATTGTATTTTTTAAAAGTTTAATTTTTTATGTGTTTTGAATTGTTTTGATGCATTAATTTAAAAAATAATTTTTTAAAAAATAAAAAAAAATATTTTCGTACATTTTAACATAAATTTAAAAAAAAAAACAACTGTAACTATACTTTTAAATAAGCTCATACAAAACCATCATATAATCATAATATTTTCATAAAACACTAATTTTTAAGTGAACTAAGAAC